TTAAAACATACCGTGCTTTATCTTGTATTTTTCTCTAAATGGGACCTTAATTATACAAAATGAACATCATGCTGCATTGAAGAAAACTCAAAACTATAGACTGAGACCAGAAACCCATTAGGAAAATGATTACTGAGGTAATAAATCAAGGGATAGGCAGGAGTCGTTGCCTGTTGGTTAGAAAGAATTCAGGTCATGTAGCAATGACTTCATTTTTAAGAACCATTAGCATTTTTTTAAAATTCTCATGGCATCTGCTCTATGAGCCATGTTAAGATTTAGATTTTCTTTTGGGCAAAATATTCAGTCACCAGGAAGTTGGACTGTTTTGGATTATCAAAAGCATGCCACCTATTGGCTGATTCCTTTCTGTTGTCTCTTCGCACGTCAGAGCTCATGATTCTATTATGAGTAGAAGTTTACCCACATCGATGCAAGAAACAGTCCTGGATCGTGACATTCACACCTCTGTGTTTTACAGTACTCTTTGAGGAATCTGGGGGAATTCTTTCCTTTGCTTCCCCACACAAACTGTTCAACATCCGATCTGTGTAAGCTGAATAGTGACTCGTCGGACTAACAAACAAAAGTTGTAACCCTGTTTGTTATATTTTTGAAACTTGTGATTAGTTTCTGCTGAATTATTCCCGCTCTGTATCCCAACGCTTGTTGACAACAAACCAAGTCATTCCAGATCAGAACACATTTTTTTGCATTTAGTTTGTCAATTCCCTCCATGTAGTTATGATGGGAGAACCCCTCCTCCTGACCTTAACCCTAGCCTTAACCATTTCCCATCTTAGTGTATTGCCATGAAAATTCAAATGTGTGGGCATGAGATCAAAAATGTGCTAGAAGCGACCTGCAATTTGTACAAAATATCATGATATATTACTTTACAGTTCATGTGATTCTGTTTCAAATTGTTTGTGAACTGAGTTGCAGTTGGTCATTCTGGTTGATCTCTGTGTTTATGAGACTTACTGCTACTTCTCACCTTTTACCTTCTTGACTTTCTTGCACAGATATGTCATTCAGTCTTCTGCTGGTTGCACTGGGTCTAACTGTTATCAATCACAAACTCTCCATTTTCCTAACAATACGCCCAACTGTGGAGGATTTATAATTCATTTTAAAATAAAAGTTGACATGGGTATGAAACATCTAGGACTGAACTGTAAGTAAGAGTTGTATGCTAGACCTTTTCACACTAGAGGGAGCTGTTGGCTCATTATTCTGCAGAGGTTTTCTTCCCCTTATCCTAGTGCACATTTGTATAACAGGACAACAGTATTTATGTAGCTGTACGGTTAAAATTCTTTATTATTTCCATCCTCCCTATAAAGAGCGTCTTTTATTAATTTATATTTTACACCCTCAAGGAATTGCAAGATTTTTACATATGATTATATTTGTTGATTTTATAAGTTAATCTCACGTGAAGGGAAGTAAAGACATGTATAATTGGGGTTATTAAATCACTGGCTGGATGTGGTAATGCAGTCAAAGTAGTGAAGCCAATCACAGCGGTAAAGGATGATCTCTTCCCTGACACTCTGATCTATTGATCACTCGATGGTTATTTCTGTGACTGATCAATATTTAATTGAGAGTCTGTGAACAGTGAAACCACCAAACTGCTGCAAGCAGACCTGCACTTACATTTCAGAGTGATGTCTACATCTGAACACCAGATAGTTGCTTTTAGTGATTTGTGCATGAATGAATGGAGCAGACATGGAATTCTGAAAGATTCTGTGTGAATATGGAGATTATATAACTTTTGGGCTCCACAGGTTCTTGGAACCTTTCAAGCTAAGGTACGTCTATGAAGGGTTAGTGCTAAAACGATTTACAGCAGTCTTCATGTGGAGATCAGGATGAATGGAGGCTTCAGACTGACTCAAGTTTCAATATGAGAGGTCAAACTATTTTGGACTTCAGATCTTGATTTGACACCGAATCAATAAAAAAGAAACCCAACATGATGTAATACTTTCCAAAAAAAGCCACTTAGCTAACTATTTTAACTTTACATCACCTTTCACAGCCTGTACCGGCACAAAAGATTAAACTCTCTAATCTAGTCTCTCTGTGCACCCGGCAAATTTTTTGTTCTACTTTGTGGTTACGAAACTGAGTCACTGAGGCTTTTTGATGTTCCATGTGTTCAGCATTTTTATTTTTTCATCACTTTCAGATGCTATATCTTAGGAATAAATACTGTTTTATTTGAAAAACTTAAACCACCTTCCACATACTCTACCTCTAAAATGATGCTTTGAAAAAAGAAGTTGAGGCCAAACATGGCAAACCACTGAAGAATATACAGTGTAGGAGATTTTCTCCTGATTCATTGGAACCCATTTTCAGCTGGTGTCCTCTGATGTTCCCATCACTACAGGTTAGCTTGAAGACCCAGTGAGCAGCTGTAGATAGAGTTCGTTGGGCACTTGTGGAGCCCCTTAAGGGCAATGTCATGGACATTTTTTTCAAACTTTTGCTTTACTTCACAAAATATTTGTCATGCCCTTAAAATACAATTTGCATTCCAGACAAAAGGCTGAGTTTTACTGTGAAAATAATGTGGTAATTTTAAATTAGTCTGACTCACCAGATGTAGACTTTAGGTATGATCCTGCCATTTCCACCATGCATTTTACACAGCTTTCTTCCCCCTCCTTTCACTATGTGTTACCATTTTCAGTATCTCCTTCTCGACACAAAAAACAACAAATTTCAAACAAAAACCACACACCGAAATGTTTTTAATTTTGCTGAAGAATCTTGAAACAAGGCATCCTGTTTGGTTCTTCTGGTGAATTTCCCATTTTAATGGCAGTGCTCACTGCCCTGCACCAAATCAACTCCTGTCACTATTTTGCAGGGACACCATCACTACACCCTGGGCTAAGTAGCTCTAAAGATGATTATGTCTAGTTCAAAGTATTACAAACAACACAGAACATTTCTGTCATTTTGGCAGAAAGATAATGAGGTGCAGTCAGACCATTCTCCAGCACTGACACAGCTCTGTGGAGCTATGCAAAGCTAATGCCAAAGTAATGCAAATCATATTGCAAGATAACGCTAAAGTTATTGTGAAGAGATTCAAATGTAATTCAGGAAAAAACACTCTGATCCTTTGGGGGCACCATAGGACTTGATAAAAGATGGGATCAGAGGCAAAGACTCAAACTAAAGTGAAGACAACTCCAAATCACATTGAAAACTGATGTGAGATCTGAACAAGACCAGATTAACAGTTGTGATCTGACCTGCAGATGAGTTCCAAGTGACATCATTAAATTGACATCATCTAAAACAGCTGGTGATTATGATGACGATGATAATGAAGGTAGAGAAGGAGTGATACTGAAATATGATAAGCCCTAATTTGTCAGCAGCTTTGCCTTTAACTGGGTTTTTATCGCATTACCCATCCATCCATTCATTATCTATACACCGCTTAATCCTCATTAGGGTCGTGGGGGCTGGAGCCTATCCCAGCTGACGTAGGGCGAAGGCAGGGGACACCCTGGACAGGTCACCAGTCTGTCACAGGGCTACACTTAGAGACAGACAACCAAGCACACTCACATTCACACCTACGGATGATTTAGAATCACTGATTAACCTCAACATGTTTTTGGACTGTGTGGGAGGAAGCCGGAGAACCCGGAGAGAACCCACGCTGGATGGGGAGAACATGCAAACTCCACGCAGAAAGATTCCTGTGGCCCCACCAGGATGCGAACCAGCAACCTTCTTGCTGCGAGGCAACAGTGATACCAACTGCACCACCTTGCAGCCCCTTTTGGAATATCTTGAGCTGATATTGTTAAAAATGCCACGCAGAAAGATCCCGGGTGTCCTCAACGGGACGCGAACCGGCGATCTTCTTTTTGCGAGGCAACGGTGCTAACCACCGAGCCACCCTGCAGCCCTTTTTCTCATTATTGCATGTTTAAAATCCTGGTTGATCTGGACCAGATTGTTTTGTTTCTTTCCCAATACACAATGCATGTCTGGCATCAGAGGTCTATCTGTCGCTGCCCCTCAGCCAGGTACTGACCTCAAACACAGGACCAGTCCCCCTTAATTACACTGAAGTGTAATGAATATGAAGAGAGGAGTGTATGAATCAGCTGACTGCATGTGTGTTTGTGTGTCTGTCAGGTCACTGTTAGTTGGTCTCTTTCTCTCTTTGAGCAGCCAAACTGAGCGTCATGGGGTTTGTTTCCCCTCTGGCATCTCTGATTGGTTGAAGGAGAGTCTCTCTCCAGAAATTGCTCTAATCCTCTTAGATAAAACAGAGCCCTCATCCAATCCCCTGCTCCAATCCCTCCCCTCCCTCCCCCTGGTCTCTCTTTCCTCTCTCTCTCCCCCTCTCTTCCATGGGGACGAGGAGTTTTTAATCCAAGTGGATTATGTCGCAAATTGGGCGACAGTAGAGACGAGTGGCTGCAAAATCTCCTACACAGAGCCGGCTTTATGTCTTCCTAACTATCTGCAAGCTGGAGAAATGAACCCACTAATTGTTCCTGCTTAAATGAGAAGCAACCTGAAAGATCAGAGGAAACCTTTTTGTTGACATTTTTGTCTGTGACAAATTTTTAACTTGCAAAGTCTGTTCTTCTTCTTGCACCAGGACTAGGCTTTTCCTTTTCTTCACTTTGTTTTGGATGACTTGGAAGTCTTTAAGGAGCCTCTGGAACTTTCCCTGTGGAGGATGAGAGACTAAATCAAGAAGCAGTGAGAAGATGTTAGCAGCAGGACAGGTTTATCCAGACATGACGGAAAGCATTCAGGGTCTAAAGACCACCATGATAAGCTCTGCAGGCTTCTGCCTTTAGCCAACATGAGGAAACCGTTTCCTACAAACTCTTTATTATTCTCTTGAACTTTCAGAGCTGTTTGTAACACTGCCTTCAAAATTTTAGAGTCACAGCTTAGTGTCTCTGAGTAAGAAGAGCAGGATGACATGCGGGATAGCAGGGATGAGGAACCTCTTGAGGATTCTTGGATTCTTTTGCTTGTGGATTACTGCTCAGGCTCAGACAAAGATTCCACCAGAGACGTGAGTGCCCGTTCTTCTTAACTTTTTCTATTCAGCTTCTCCTGTACAGCTGTGCAGTCAGCTAATTTATTATGCAGATGAGTCCTTTTTCACTCACAAGTACGAGACTGTCGAAAGGGTCCATCAGGGGTATGATTTTTGAACGTTTCTCTAAAGTTCAGCATGGCATGTTTGATATGTTTGGAAAGGCTAGGACCTCCTCTCGCCTTTGAACTATGTTTGTATGATCAGTAAGGTTTAACAGTTTACAGTGAACGACAGTGACATCTTCAGTGCTGAATACGTGAATTAATCATGTGACAGATTTTACCAAAGGCATCATTCAGAGATCACAGGTTCAAGATTCTCTGTCTCTAAAATCTGGCCGATCTAGGCAGCAATATTCCCTCTGCATATACTTGTAATTAGTTCCTAACTCAGCAGAATGTACAAAAAGTGAAGCAAAATCCTTACTTGTCTGTTCTTTGGTTGGCCACCAGTCACAATAACGGGACCCTGGTAGAGCAGTGGGCTTGGGTAAAGACAAGGTTCTACTGCCTTTGACACACATATTGGATATGAAGCTCATAAAAGACAGTTCTAATTGGACTTTGCAGATAAATTAAGCTTCAGACAGCAAACTCCCAGAGTGCACTGTGTTAACATTCCCAAGGGAGTAACTGTGCGTGTCAGCAGGCTGCAGTTTTCCCTTGGGAGTCACTGAAATCTGCTCTCCTTTTTGTTGAGTCACATTATTCCAGGTGCTGTGGTTACAGCTGCTTTAAATGATCTCCACTGTCTAATTTGAAAACTCAACATCTGCCACCTGCCTGTCTAATCCCAACTCTAATTCAAACTTTAACCCAAGCTCAAAGCCTTCAAACAGCGCCAGAACTGTTTCACCCAAGAAGAAATTCAAAGGGAACAGTGTACAGGATGTGAAATGTCAGTTAATGGAGGTTAATTGGATCAGCAAATTAGTTGGTCCAGAAACAGATCCCTATGTTGTTATGTAAAGCTGTAGTTTCCAAGTGGACTGTTGGATCGGTGATCGGATGAGCTCTCATCAGACCAAATTCTCATTGGTCGGACAATCAACAATGTTACTTTTACATCAACAGCCTTCAAGGATTCATCCATTCTTTTTGGTGGTAGGAGGACCAGACTACCTTATCATCAGGGGAGCAACTTAACGTGAAAAGTATCAAACGAATCTTAAACATCTCAGTTGATTTATGCTGCCTGAGGCTGCTGGCTGAGCATATTTACTCTGGAAGCAGAGACGTTCAGGTTGTTCACCATCAGCAGCACATCCTGCATACACTAACAGTAGGATTGGGGCTTTTCTTTCGCATTTTTGCTAAAGCTGAAAGTTTAGGAGCACCAAGGACTACATTTTTGACTGTATTTTCAACACGGTTTGGTATAATTGGTTCTACATGACCTGCTCACAGATGAACTACTTACTTCCACCGACAACTCCTATTTTTAGTGCTGTGTTATTTGTCTTTGGTCAGGTTGTTGTAGTTTTTAAAGTCTCATTAGCATGAACCTGTCAGACAGTGTTTGAGTGAAGCAGCAAAGGCTCCCTGCAAACTGTAGTCCTGCACGGCTGCAGCTTTCTCCCTCCTGCATCACCATCTGTGGGTTAGCATGGCTGGCTGGCCACCGGCCACGCTCCATCAGCCCGGTCACCTTCCAACCTGACCCACATTCGCCAACCGACTACACGCCACAGGCCTGGACAGTGACCGCCACACTACCTGGATACAAACACCTAAACTCTACCACCTCACAGCTTTCCAAATCTCGAAATCCTCATCTTCACTGACAAGCAGAGCTGAAGAGACTTTGTGTTATGTAAATGAATAGTGTCTGGTGAAAATGCTGGGCGTCACATCACGAAATGGTTCAAACATCACAGATTATTCTGTCTGCAAAGGCAAATATGTAGTTTTAATTACATTGGGCCTCACAAGAAAAACAACGAAACTGATGTTTATTGAAGTGGTAAGTAGTCCTCACCTGTATATAGATCCATAAACCTATATAGATCCTTTGAACCCTTAGCTTGGTTCTGCAAAGTGTTTCTCATTCACACACACCAATGGTGGCAGAGGTGTTATTCAAGGTGCTCACCTGCTATTCGGAGCAACTTGGGGCTCAGTGTCTTGCTCAAGGACACTTTGGCACCCATCACCAACCTTGCGAGTAGAAGAAAACTCTACCGCCTCACAGCTTTGTGAATGATGACAGTCAGGGCCAAAGAAAGGAGTAGCCAAACAAAAGTTTACAAAGGACTGTTGCTTCTGGGTGACCAGCAGTTGAGAGAGAACTTAAGACAATAAGAGGACCTTCTGTCTGTCCACAGACAAAATCCCTCACTGTGTGGATCTGCCGATGTATCAGATGACACCAGCAGACTGCTCAAAAACTTGGTCTCCAGGGTTAGTTCCTCAAAGTGTTATGCTTCCCAGCTAAGGGGGCATGTGGTGCTAAAACAAAACAAAAAAAATCAGGTTAAAAAAATAGCACAGAAAAAGGGTCCCAGAAAGAAAAAGAAAAAAATACATAAATTAAATAAATTGTATTTTAAAAAATCTCAACTAAAATTCCTAGAAATTCCTGAAAAGAAAAAAAAGAAAATTTAAATTTTAAGAAGAGGCAAACCAAACTGTACACCATAAATGTGGACTTAAATCGCTTAAATTACTTTACTTACTAAAATACTTTTTTACTTGAATACTAAAATTTGTCCCTCCTGTATCCAAATGACAGCCACTTTCACTCATAATTAGCACTGTTAGTATCAGGAGTTACTATCAAATTATACAGCTCAATAATTTGTACAGTCCACTCATTAGCCAGCTATTCCGTGGTTTCAGCTATTCTCCAGTGTGGGGACAGAAAATGATCAGCCATTTCTATCTATAATGGAAATAATCATTACTTGCAGCTGCAGAACAGAGTTTCTGTTCTTGTTTTATTGTCTGAGACTGTTACAATCCCACTATGTATGTTGCAACACACAGCATGTGCCTTTGTCTGCACTGAACTCTGAGGATTAATGTCTACAACAAATAGACTAGCAAACTCCTCCATTCTTAAGCACATTCTTCAGTAAACACAGACACACAAGCTGTCTCTGTCTCATAGAGCGCACACATCAAGCTGTGTGAACTCTCTTCTCTTTACATTGTCTTCATGTCTGTATTTCTTACCATCTGGAACTCTACAATGTGATCATTTTGATCCTTAGGAGTATTCACAGCTGTGTTTCATCAACATGGTTAAAAACAATCTAAACAACATATTATTTTAAGTTTTTTAAAATGTTCAATCCTCCTGCCCAGTTTGATCTCAGTAATGCGCCTGATGAGAACTTTGTTACTAACTGGGAAGGTGGAGAAAGTCGAGCTACCATGACTAGCCATTAGTTATCTTGACAGAAAATGAATTGTTGATTATCACTCAACAAATTCCTTCAGTATTGTTTGAAGCAAAAAAGGTTTTCTTCTTCAGCATTTCAAAGGTGAGGATCTGATGCAGTTATCAAATAAAATCAAATCAAGTTTATTGTCGTGTTGCTGTACATACACAGTAGTACAGAGCGATTCTTCAGGATTATTCAACCAGCAAGTTTTGCAGAATGCACGTCTGGGATAAGACACTAAACGTTTGCGTCCATGCGCGCAACCACTCCTCGAACATGTCGAACCTCTTCAGGTCCTGGTAGGTCTTCAGGGACACAAAGACACACAAGATGGTGTGACCATTGTGAAGCCGCAGATGCTGCCCAGAGCTGTCCCTCTGTCTGTCCACCCAGAATAATGTGGTCCCCTCCAGCTGTATGTCCGTCTGGGATGTTTTCATGGAGCCATGTTTCTGTTAAAGCAAAGCAAGCTGCAGGTTTCTCTCAGCAAACGTAGCTCATCCAGCTTGTTGTCGAGGGGGTGGACATTGGAGAGTCGGAGGACGGCCCTGCTGGTCTGGAGAGGCCTTTAGCCTAACATGGATCCCGGCTCTCTTCTTCCTCCCTTGTTTATGTTTGAACCGTTTACATTTCCTTGTCTCTCGGGTAAGTGACGGCATAGTCTCCGATCGGACTCCGTGTTGGTGTTGTATGTCCAAATCACAACCGATCGCCGAAATTCCAGCGCCGTTCACTGTCCTGACACCCAGCAAAGTCTCCCAGCCGCAAGGTTTTGTGGAATGAATGCCTGGAATACACAAAACACTCTAAACGTTCACTTTCGTTGTCTCCTGAAGGGGCCACTGTGTCTATGCACTGTGTTTATGTTTGATACAGGATGGTAAAATGAATAGAGTTTTTGACTGAAAAAAGACTATCTGTCATTTTATGGATGAAACAAATAAACATTGATTTAAGAAAAGCTGCTTTGGTGAGTCCTAGGAGACAGTTTGTCCTATTGTTGTTCAAATCATGCTGTAAAATAGGCCTGTCGCACATTTTTTCAGTATTGTGGCAATGTTGTCCTCAGAAATGTCGTGATGTGTTTGTAACAAAAACCAAAACTTTTCTTTTTTCAATCCTCTATAAAAGGCTGGAGTAGTTCACGTCAGTAATTCAGCCATTCACAAGCCGCCTGTACCTCCGTGTGTCATGCCGCTGCTTCATACTGTTGTGTGTTATTGTGAGTTTGTGCTGAGCAGACACCTGCAGCTTCCTGCTGTGACCCAGATGAAGAACAGATTATCTAAATCTCTTTCATCACTGTTATATTTAACGGCCTTTTTCTGCTGTAACTCACTGCTGCTGAGAAGAGTGTCGCCACGGCAACACATGGCTAATCTCCAAACAATGCTACAAGCAAGCATCCATACAGTCTCAGGTTCCATACAAGTGCTTTATACTTGTAAGGCTAAAAATAGCTTTGATGACTCAGCATAATTACTACCTCTGTGACGACTGTTGATGGTAATGCCAGCACTGTTACTGCTCTGTTTTCTGGCATTATCGTTATACCTGCTAACAGCGCTCCTCGTGTTCCCATCCCATTGTTGTTCTGAGTTATTCTGTTGTAGTTTGGCACAAATTTCCAATGTTGTACAAAAATAGCTTTATTGTTTTATTGAACTAATCCCAATATGCTAATACAAGTTGAGAAAAAGATTAATTTATATTAAATGTTCAACTATAACTGCCAGATGAATGTATGTCACAGAAGGAGATCAACATTTCAGGACGCTACTTTCTTCAAGCAGTCGCCCAGTTGGCAGAGACGTCAGCTTAGACAGCTGCTACAAATCAGATCAATCAATCTAAGTGGCCAATCCAGAGCGAAGACTGAGGCCAAAGACGAGCCTCCCTGGATCAGGAAACCACCCAGTGCAAAAATAGAACAACTGTCAATCAGCAAAGGAATACACCAAATGAATCGACATATGTAAGAAATCCACAATATGAAGATAACTGAATATTTCTATGTATGTGGCTTCGTGTAAAGAATAACTCAAATAACAAAAAAAAAAGCAAAAGCAAAAAAAAGAAACAAACAAACTACTATACTGTTGAATGCTAACATGCACATTAAACAGAACAAAATATATGTTGGCCCAGACTGGCGTTCTCCTCAACAGCAAAGAATCCACGTCTTCTAACACAATTAGACAGCTCATTATTTGACACTGTTAAAATTTCATGATATCATGTTACACTCATTTTTTGACACTGTCAGTGCTCTTTTGTGCAAAAAAATCAGGAAATAACAGAAAAAAAAAAAAGTTGTAGGCAAATATCGTTTAAAAATGGAAGTCAGAGATATAGCCATAAGCAAGCAGGCAGCTATGTGCAAACTATCTCTGCAGTTCTGTCATAGCAACATTTGCACAGTCACGTGAATACAACACTTACGCAACTGATATGAATTCAGTAACATTGGCAGGGATGAGACATTGAGCCTTTGCTCCAATCACATCTAGGTGCCTGTGGCTCAGGTGATAGAGCGGGTTGTCCTCCAATCGCAAGGTTGGTGGTTTGATCCCCCTCCACAGTCGAAGTGTCCGTGGACAAGACACTGAACCTGAAGTTGGTCCCAATGGCAGGCAGCACCTTGCATGGCAGCTCTGTCACGATTGGTGTATGAATGTGTGTGTGGATGGGTGAATGAGTAACACATTGTAAAGGGCTTTGGATAAAAGCGCTATATAAGTGACCATTTACCATTTATATACAAGTGCTGCATAGCACAGCCTGGCTGGTAGGCAGGAGAGACAGCTTAAACCAAAACACTGTATGTATTTGGACATGAGTGGGTAGCAGTTTCCTTCACTAAAATACAATTAGGACAAGAAAAATATGCTCTGTGTAAATTGTGCAGAATGTAGAGTTGCTGATGCTGCACCACTGTGTGCAAAAACCCAAACAAACGTGTACATGCAGCACAATGTCTGAAAAGCAGCTCCTCTAGTTGTCACCATCAACAGTTCCATCCTGGCAAGTTAAAATGCTGAACTCTGTGCCTAATTCACATTGCATCACTAAAAGGAGACACCATAAGGTCAGTTATAATTGTCAAGATCACAACACTGGGCGTGTTTTGTGTTGTGTTTTCCTGCATTTTAATCAGAAGTATGTTTCCCATCTGTTGTTGAATGTCTGCCTGTGACCTGAGCTTTGCACTTTGTTTTACATCAAGTCTGACTCTCTCTTAATTTAATCATATCATCATATCTGATGTAAGAAGCAGTGCCACCAGGTGGGATGCTTCTACCATCTGAAATACTAGGTCCCACCTGTGGTAAATATTATTGTGGAGCCTTGGATTATGAATAATGGGAGGTGACTCCACAAACACAAATTGCTGCATTAGCACTGCTTGTATGCACTACAAAACATCGGCAATGACCATTTGATATTGCTAACAAATATTTTGAGCTCTGTGAGATCAGATCAACACTAACTTTTTTCAGTAGTCTGTTCCTCTCCATGGCAAGTTTTTATATGTTTACAACCTGCACTCTCTGGTATCAGTTCTTTACTTTGCATGTGATGCTGTATTTCTCTTTTGACTCCATGTCTGTCTGCTTTTCCAGGGTGCAGCAGTGGGCGTCAGTGTTCTCTGTTCAACTTCGGGAATTCACAACCAAATACTCTGGCTCCTTGCTGCTGCAGAAGGTAAGAAAAAAAAATAGTCAAACAGATTTCCTATATGGGGCTGCAGCTGAAAGATTCCTGGTTTGCATCACAGTGAGGACACCCACGGTCTTTCTATGTGGAGTTTGCATGTTCTTCCCGTGCAGCATGGGTTCTCTCCGGCTTCCTCCCACACAGTCCAAAAACATGTTGAGGTTACTTGATGGTTCCAAATTGTCCGTAGGTGTGAATGTGAGTGTGCTTGGTTGTCTGTCTCTAAGTGTAGCCCTGTGATAGGCTGGTGACCTGTCCAGGTGTCCCCTGCCTTTGCCCTCATTTATCTAAATCCTAAAGCTAGATCATTAAAGTTTGGACTAGAGTCATGGTGAAGTCTCTACTGATATTTAAATTTTTACCGATGGAAATAAAACTAACAAAACAGCTCAGTCTCAAACTGGTCCCAGGCCAACACACTGGTTGAACTGGGGCAGTGTTTGTGTGTTTGAATGTACATCTGTGTGTGCAGTAATGCTCATCTATCTTTGTTTGTGTTTACTAGGACATGCACACGCACACACACGCACAAACCACACACACAGACACACACACAGACACACACAGGGATCATGGTAATGCCCAGATTGAGGACCGAGCCCTCTTTACCAGCGTCAGGATTTGTGGCCTGTTCTGATTTTAGCCATTCATCCATTTATCTGTCAGATTTAGATTTGTCACAGGCAGTCAGCAGTTTGTCTGCTTTCACACAGACAGCCTCCTCCTGCAGTCACAACAAGCAGGCAGACAGCAGGTCTCTAGAGGAACAAACTTTGCTGTAGATTAACTTCCATGTAGCTGTGTTAATGTATGTTTTCTCCTGTTGAGAGAGTCCACAAGACAAGCACAGGAAAATCAGAAATATGCTAAAATCTCTCATTTGAAAAAACAAAACTAGAGATTTAAAAGGATCAGTGTAAGCTAAAAAAACAAATACAAAAAATAAAGCAGATCAAAAGCTGATTCTTTCTTTATGGAACTTTTATCCCACTTGTGTTGCAAAGCTGCTCTGCTTTACAACAGCAGTGCAGAGTAAAGCGTTGTGTGAATGTGGACGTTTCTTTCACCTCGGAGCTCAGCACTTGACATGGATACATGGTTACATTAAACTCTGACTTAAAATCTCTTTTTATCACTGGCAAAAAATGCAGTGTACAAAACATTTAGGTAGGAGCTTTTTAATTTAGTCGGTGGTGACACTGCTCAGTCGACCATACGGCTGCAGTTGATTAACATGAATTGCATTTGTTACTTGTGTGAAAGCCAATTTGAAGCTTTGAAGGAAAAGCAGCTCCTCTCTCTAACATCACTGTACAAGTGCAAGATCAGTTCATCATACCTATAGGGCTGGACCCGAATAGCCGACTATTCGCTCGGAGTGCCGGTGTCAGAATACCAATTTTGATCTCCGACTATTCGGAATGTTGGGATATTCGCTGCCAATTTGGACTGAATATCCAGAGACTACAAATTGCCATTCGGACCAGCCCTACATACCTACCAACTTTTAAGTGCACACCTTTCCCCTGTCAGTAAGACTTATCAAGGAAAGGCATCAATAATAAGGCTATTGTCCTTTAAATATTGTAGCTATTGCACAACATGAGCAGGATACCAGCATTTACAAAGTGTCACTGCTGGAATTCACAAAAATTATTTTAAATACAATAAACCCTTTATTATCATAATGATGATACTGAAACAAACAGTTTGCGTTTTACTTTCTGGCGGAGTTAGAATGATCTTCAGCCCTCTAACAATAGTGTTTAATTACATTCTTAAGATTATAAAAGTTTTAATTTTCTAGAAATGATTTAAAATGTTATTTGTTTAAAATATACAGTATTGTTTTTGGACTTAAAGAACATTGTTAAAACATGGTTTTCTACAAGAAGTGCTGCATTGTGGGTTGTTTGTCATGATACTGTTTTGACTGTTAGCGTGTCTTTGTACCGAATCTTTCAGAGTCAGTCAGCCCTAAAAATGTTTGATCAGCTCAGTTTAATCTACAGCTGTTTCTGAAGGCCTGTGGAAATTCATTAATACTGAAAACTCCTGGGGTCAGTACAGTTTGGTGATGTTCAGTACCTGTTTGTTGGCAAAATCAAGTAGCTTCCATGATCACCAAAGTACTGGCACCTTTGCCTGGCCTTATTTTGTTGTCATGAGCTGCTGCTGTCAGGTGTGTGTGACTCACATTATGTCATGTTACCTTTAGGTGGTGACTACATTTGTCCTGAATGAGCTGAGCATATGTTGAACAATGCCTACAATCTCACGGCACTCTTCCTCACGCTTCTATGAGCATGTGCATCCCTTTCATTGTAGCATGTATGTCTAAGGCTGTGGGGGTGGGGCTTATTTAACCTCAGCATGGTTTTTGGACTGTGGACGGAAGCCGGAGAACCTGTAGAGAACCCACGCTGTACGGGGAGAACATGCAAACTCCACGCAGAAAGATCCCAGGCATTCCAACTGGGACGCAAACCGGGGATCTTCTAGCTGCGAGGCGACGGTGCTAACCACTGGTTCACTTTGCAGCCCATGTTGAAACATTCAATTTAAATTTTATTTGTATAGCACAGTTCACAACATATGTCATCTCACAGCGCTCAACATAATAAGGTGAACCCCTTACGGATTTAAGCAGAGGACCCATGAGCTTTATTAAACAGGAAAGTTTTAAGCCTAATCTTAAAAGTAGAGGTGGTGTCTGCCTCATGAACCCAAACTGGGAGCTGATTCTACAACAGAGGAGCTGATAACTGAAGGTTCTGCCTCCCATTAGACTTCTGGAAACTCTGGAACCACAAGTAGACCTGCAGTCTGAGAGTGAAGGGCTCTGTTTGGATGATACGGTACAATAAGGTCTCTCAGATAAGATGGAGCTTGGTGATTAAGAGTTTTATATTTGAGATTTTATATTGAGATTTCAGGATTTTAAATTCTATCCTGGATTTTAATGAAGAAATCACAACACTGGCTTGTAGGGCTTCAGAGCTTTTCTAACATTTTGCAACTATACAGACTTTTGCCATCACAGGAATTATTCGCTAGCTTTATGTATTTAGTGGTGAGTTAACCTGACTATGGCAAGCGAAAGGAGAAGTAGTTCCTATCAACCATGAGCAAGACTGAATCCTGGTAGTAGAATATTTCATTTCTACTTTGTCAGCTGTTAATGATAAATTACACATTTATGCTAAACTGCCACGTTTTTTTTTTGTTTTTTTTTTTAAATCTGAAAATCAATTTCCACTGATGCTCTTTCTTCCCAGCTTCACACTAACAGTTTCGAGACCTTTGTATGACGACAGACAGCTTCGTCCTCTCAGAAGGTGGAGTTTAGTCTGCAGTTCCAGGTTCTTTTATATGAATGGATGCAGATCAGGGACAGACGACGCTACTTGAGGTTACACTAAATGTTTGGCTGTGTCATGCATTTGCTTTGGTTACTTTACTGCTTGGACTAATTGGAATTAGTCAGTGACTTAATCAAGCGATTCAGAGTGTAAATAACCAGACTGGGCAATTCCTCCTGGCATTCAGTTGGCTGATCCACCTCAAGCTCCTTTGATCCACAGAAAGTGACCTGATTACCTCAAATATCCTCTCAGTTAAAAAATGGACTCCATGGCAGCTGATGTAATCTGAGAGTGAATCTGACCGTCTGAATGACCTCATAAAAACAAGCCAAATGTTTAGCTGCATCACATACTGTTCAGTCAGTTTCTGGAAACATTCGGAAATGAAAATGAATCAAAGCAGATTTGACTCAGCCGATAAACATGAGATATCACCTCAGACCTTGTTACGGGCTGATCTTCTGAGCAATGCTGCATGGTGTAATAACTGATGGCACAGTAAGTGTCCGTGCCTATTAAAGTTTTTGATGGTAATACCAAAAACAATTGAGTAGCAATAGCTCCCAGCGTTGTGCATCTAAAGACAGCCATTATTATTAATAACCAACCTGTGGAAACAGTCGACCACTTCAGATATCTTGGAGTAACACTGGACAATAAACTCAGCTTCGATCAGCACATTATAGACATCCAAAAATGGAGTCATCAAAGACGGTCAGCCATCCGTAAACTCAAAGGTCTCTTAGTTGCTCCATGTCTTCTTCTGTCACTGTACCAAAGCATTATTCAATCCATCTTACTGTACTGCTCCACCGGTTTCTATAACATGCTCACTGTTAAAAACCGGACTACACTATTACACATAACCAGCAGTGCTGCAAAAATCATAGGTCTCCCCACACCCAACCTATCTGAACTCAATAACAAGGCCATTACACGCATTGCACTCTCAATATCACAGGACTCTACCCCCCCACTACAGGTAATATCTTATCCCGTTGCCTTCAGGACGGAGATACAGGACACTGCGTTGCAGAAAGGCTCGTTTTGGTAAAAGCTTGATGCCTGCAGTCATAGCTGCCTTAAACAAAATTCCCCGCTGAGCATCCCTGTACTACATTGTCATGTCTTTCATACTGTTTCATGTTGTACTTTGTGTTGAAATGTTATTCTGTCTGTGGGATTCTGTGTAGTTTGTATTGTCATGTTATGAGATGGAAGTCAAGGACAATAACTTCTAATAACTTGTTTAACTGTAAACTACATTGTATAATTCATCCTACATCCACCCAACCGGTCGAGGCAGATGGCCGTCCCTCCCTGAGCCTGGTTCTGTCGGAGGTTTTTTTTCCCCTGCCGGGGTTTTCGGTTCCTTCCCACTGTTGTGGACTGCTTGCGGACTGCTGAAGCTTATAGGGAATCCAGATGTTTTGGATTGTTGGGTGTTTCTGTTTCTGCCTTTGTGAAGCGCTATGAGATGACTTGTTGTTGTAAATATGCGCTATACAAATAAAATTGAATTGAAAATTGAATTGAAAATTGAAAGTCAAAGGTTGGTCTGTGGAAAAGAATTTCCCTCTAAAGTAACGCTAGAGAGACAACTGTGATACATCCTTGCAAAAAGAAAGAACAGCTGATGAAGGTTTACAATATTAGCAAAATGATATAGACACTCTTGTTCACATTGTTGTGGATTTGGTTGTTTATTTGGATCCATATTAGCCCTGACCAGCACAAACATCAACTCCTTCTGGGATCCACAAATGTTAATATATATGACAACACTTTAAAAAGTTCATGCCCTCATCCAGAAACAGTACCCATCCTCACAGCACAGGAGGCAGAAGCAGCCAAATGTGACTTTGAACTGTTGCTCCATGCAGCTTACTCACTGTGTGGACAACAGCATTGTCCTGGAGCAACAACAGTCCAGCACAAAGTTTTCCTCTCCTTGCAAAGAAGTGATGGCAAACATTTGAGTTTTGACAGTGATAAAAGGCTTCATAGTGTACAGTTATCCCCCCAAAATGGCAGTTACGCCCCTTCTTTTTGGGTCAGAATGAGAAACGTTTTTTAAAGTACCCTCGTACAAGGTTTATCCACCTGTTTTTTTTTTTGTTCCCCTTTCAGAAACTGAAGGATGTGGAGTCCATCATTAAGATCATGGACCTGGAAGGAGATGACTTGGTGAAGGACTACTCTGATGAAATTGAACGAATGTTGGGAAGTAAGATGAAGTCAGTGAAGGTGAGGATAAAAAAATAAATAAGTATGGATCTGGAGCCAGGAGGCAATTAATTTAGCATAAAGACTAGAAGAAGGGAGAAGTGTCTTACTGCAGACTAATGTTTTGGGCACCAAATCTGTCAGCCAGATAGTGGGATCCTAGAAATGTGGTGCTTTACTTTGTCTTCTGCCACAAAAGCTGCTCCAATGGTTGGTCATGCTCCTTTTGCCTCAGAATGAGAGGGCAACACTATTATCTATACACAATGAGTGGAGTGTCGAGGTAGTACTGGGAAAAAAATACAATAAAAAAATCAAGCAGTATTTAAAATTAACATCAGTCAGCTGGTGTGCCATTAAAAATCAGCTAAAGATTCATAGTAATAAAAAAGCTAAGTCACTGTTGTGTGTTTTTTTTTTAATCCTGAGCAATGACCTGTTACTATACCTTATGTCAGGGGTGTCAAACTCTGGCCCTCGGGCCAAGTTTGGCCCGCTTTGTAATGATATTTGGCCCGCAAGACAAGACAAATGCCAAATGACTTCTAGAGCTGCCCCCGGTATTATACTGTACAGCGCATTCACTGCTAATACTACAAATCCCATAATGCCCTGTTGTTGTTTTGGCACGTCAATCAGGACAGGACCCAGAAACTCCCTCTCCTCTGTGACAGTAGGCATCGTGACTTCACACTACAACTGTCACTGTGCCATTGATGTGTTTTTTATTTATAATTTGATTTTGCATGTCTCCACTATTAAGTTATATATAATGTATGGTGATAAGCGTTGCTTGTTCCATATTCAATGTTAAAGCAAAATTTGTTTCGGTCCATATTAAAAGGCTCATTTGCTCAATGTTGGCCCGCGACTTAAATTTTGGCCCACTGTGTTTTTGAGATTGACACCCCTGCCTTATGTGAACACTTTCAAGGTGCATGAGGTTTAGGCAAGGCACACATAATTCAAAATCAATGATACTGACAGCAGAGAGGCTTGTTTTCAGTTTTATTCCTGAGATATAATACTGTGTTTCACAAGGTTTTATTGGGTTAACATTACACTTGACTTTTCTAATAGGATGCATCATCAACCATTTCTACAAAAAAAAAAAAAAAACTGTTTCTCTCAAAATGTAACTGAGAGAATGAGAGTGCAGTTTAGTTATATAGAGGAGCATTTTTTGGGGACAGTTGGTTGGGCAGGATAAAAGAAAGGAACTGTACACAAGCAATTGTTTTGTTGGAATTACATTTTTTGCTTCTTTTTGTGATACACTGAACATTAACAGTCACAGACTCAGTACTTTG